TGAAAGACAGCCTCAAAGTAGAATCACACCACCCAGTCTCATTAATAAACCAAGACGACAATATATTCACATCAAACTTGGCCAACTGCCTAAAAATTTTCCTACACAAAAATTTTCCCCAGACCAGACTGGCTTTGTCCCTGGTTGCAATATAACAGGCCCCGTCAGGAAACTACTGAACGTGATTGAACACAGCACGGCAACTAAACACCCACTGACAATTATGTCCCTAAACATCCTCAATGCTTTGGATTGCTTAGAGTGGAAATACCTATTAGCAGTACTAACGTGAAATTTGGCCCCAACTTCCTGCAAATCCTCAATCAAATATACTCCCAAGCCTCAGCAATATGGAAGACTAACAACAGGGACTCTAATACCATAGCAATCCAAAAAGGCACAAAACAAGGATTCCCACTTTCTCTCTTCTTATTCCTCCTGGCTCTGGAACCTTTAGCAATCTGAATCCGAGCAGCCACAGACATCAAGGGAGTGGAAATAAAGGCAAAACCCACAAATTAGGACTCTTTGCAGATGACAGCACCAGACCCCATAAACACAGCAACCTCCTTAATCAGAGAACTCAACACATTTGCAATGGTGTTGGGCCTACAGGTAAATTTTGCATAGTCGGAAGCTATGTGCTTCCCACACACAAAAAGACCTCGCTAACGTCACCAAGATAAAACTTTGCCACACCAAGTTCAGATACTATGGGGTACAAAGAACCTGAAACCTCAATAAAGTATACCTCCACAACAACAACAACTCCTAGTTGGTGGCAAATTATCAAAGACCTAAAGAGATGGAACAACATCAACTTCACTCTCTCAGACAAAATGGATAAAGGGTAAAGGGATCCCTGACCATTAGGTCCAGTCGTGACCGACTCTGGGGTTGCGGCGCTCATCTCGCTTTACTGGCAGAGGGAGCCAGCGTACAGCTTCCAGGTCATGTGGCCAGCATGACTAAGCCGCTTCTGGCGAACCAGAGCAGCACATGGAAACACCGTTTACCTTCCCGCTGGAGTGCTACCTATTTATCTACTTGCACTTTGATGCGCTTTCAAACTGCTAGGTTGGCAGGAGCAGGGACCGAGCAATGGGAGCTCACCCCGTCACGGGGATTCTAATTGCCGACCTTCCGATTGGCAAGTCCTAGGCTCTGTGGTTGAACCCACAGTGCCACCCGCGTCCCCTCAGACAAAATAACCATGATCAAAATGATCAGCCTCCCAAAACTAACCTACCTATTCCAAACAAAAAACCAAGAAAAAGCCCCAAATACCTGCACCTCCCCTCCGCAGAGGGAGGATGGAGAATCCCCAACATACATTGCCAGCCAAATATGCTACATAATCCCATATATACTAGAAGATGAAACAAAACAGTGGGTGCACCTGGAGAGAGACACAATTGAAAATACCTGCACCACAGCATACCCAATTCCAAACAAACTAAGGAAAATTCCCACAATACTTAACAGGTACACACAGACCATGCTTAAAGCATGGAAAGCAGAAATAGGCAAACTGTCCCTAACCCGATCCCCACTGCCATATTTTTCGTCCCATAGGACGCTCCGTCCCATAGGACGCACCTACTTTTTTTTTGGGGGGGGGGAATAAAGGGGAAAAAAATTTCCATTATTTCCCCCCCAAAACCAGGTCGGGGAACAGTGGGATGGCGGCGCTGCGCCTCCCCGCTGTCCCCCGAGCTTGTGGGGCTGGCCGATGTCTGCCCGATGTGAGGGGCGCTCTGCTACAGGGCGCCCCACGCGCCGGGCGGCAGGCTGCGGACACCTGTGCGAAGCACAGGGCGTCCTCCGAAGGGCGCCCCGTGCTCCGTGCTGCAGGCTGCCGCCTGCCGCCTGCAAGCCTTGCACTCCTGGGGGGAGATCCCCCGGGTGTGCAAGGCTTGCCGACACCTGCGCGAAGCACAGGGCGTCCTCCGACGGGCGCCCTGTGCTCCGCACTGCAGGCTGCCACCCGCAAGCCTTGCGCGCCCGGGGGGAGTGCCCCCGGGCGCGCAAGTCTTACGGACACCTGCGTGAAGCACGGGGCATCCTCCGGAGGGCGCCCCAAGCTCCGCGCTGCCAGCTGCCGCCCGCAAGCCGTGCGCGCCCGGGGGGAGATCCCCCGGGTGCGCAAGGCTTGCTGACACCTGTGCGAAGCACAGGGCGTCCTCCGGAGGGCGCCCCGTGCTCCACGCTGCAGGCTGCCGCCTGCAAGCCTTGCGCGCCCGGGGGAACTCCCCCCGGGCGTGCAAGGCTTGCGGATAGCTTCCTGGAGCCTGGAGAGCGAGAGGTGTCAGTGAGCACCCACGCCTCTCGCTCTCCAGGCTTCAGCGAAAGCCTGCATTCGCCCCATAGGATGCACACACATTGCCCCTTAATTTTTGGAGGGGAAAAAGTGCGTCCTATAGGGCGAAAAATACGGTAATTCCCCTGGCACACCACCCATTATTCCATCACACAGCACAAAACCTCCAGATAAAAACTTGGCAAACCAAAGGCTTATATCGCCTAACCAACCTCTATAAAAATGGCAAACCCTTGCCAACACAAGAAATACAAGACAAACTAGAAGACGCCCAAATGCCCTGGTTAACACACCACCAATTGCATGCCCTCTTAAACAATCCAGTAGTAAAATCAGCAGCAACTAGGCCCCTGACAACCTTCAAAAACCACCCCCAAAAACCTCCTATGAGATTAACCCCACTCAGTGGACCAGAACATGGTCTAAACCCTGCTTTAAATCCATATCAAAGGAAAGGAAAGCACTCACTCTGAAACTTACCTACAGGTGGTACCTAACACCAAGGAAATTAGCGCTAATAAGCCCAGGTGATTCACCAAAATTCTGGAGAGGGTGCACCTCCCCAGGCACATACCTCGACATGTGATGGGAATGCCCCCAAATCCAACTCTTCTGTACAAAATCCATATGAGAAATATGTAAAATAACTAAGCAAGTATTAGAAATCACACCAGATCTGGCCCTACTAAACATCTTCCAAGACAACAATGCCCACTCAAATCATGAAGAACTCATAACCCACCTATTCTCAGCAGCCAGAAACATTATAACCTGGTGAGACCTGTCAGGAATAAGTATGGACCAATGGTACCAAATAGTATGGGAAACCACCTTATTAAAAAAATTAACCAATAAACTGAAACTGACACAGGGAAAAATAGAAGAAGACGCCTTCACCCCGGTATGGCTCCCCTTTATCACATACATAGCCCAACAAGACAATGACAAAAATTCACCAAAAGAATACAAATCAATATGGCTAACCTGATCCAAAACACCCACCCACCCCCTCACACATGAAAACAAAGACCAACACAGCCAACCACAAATGAACAGCCACACCCGAGGCCAACCCCAACCTCTCTCACCACCAAAGGAAGACAAGCGAACAGCAAAGAACCTGCACAAGCAACGCTGACACAAAACCCCACATATATTAAGTAAAATAGAAACACCCCCACCCCACCCCCACTCATCTTTTTTCCCCTCCACCTCTTTCCCCCTATTCTGCCTAATGTCTCAACAAATGGGGGGAAATGTGTTAGGTGGGGGGGAGGGGAAATACGAAACAGAGGCAATGCACCTACCTTTGCAAATCAAGACAATCTTTACTAAAAATACATTTTAAAAAAACAAATGAAACTGACCTGTAGAAAATGTAACTTGAAAAAAGAAACATTGCACATACTTTTGTAAACCAAGAAATCTTTAATAAAAAAGACATTTGAAAATATTTACAGTTTCACCACATTTCAGAAACTCAGGAAGAAGGATGGGCGTGTGTACTTCCTGACCCTCTGAAGATACCCAGCCTCATGTGCCTAACCCCAGCTGGAAGGCCGGCCTGCCTTAGGACTTCTAAGCAGAAGCTCCACCTGCCTGGAAGAAGACCCACAATGCCACAATGCTACCTACCTGGGAGGGCCACTGCATTCGGGGTGGCGAGGAATCTCAACTCCATACCGGCCGATGGGAAGAGCAGCTTCATGATGGAACAGGCCATGGCTTGGGAGTTCCCCTCCATCTTCCAGAAGGACCGCATCCAGAAGCATTGTGTCTTGGGATACATCCCTGCAAATACAGTCCTGTGAGAAGAACGCCAGGAAACGTTTTGCTAGAACAGAGCCTGTCCTCTAAAGGGAGAGGCAGAACCTGGGGTGCTCAGAGGCTTTGGGTGCTTTGGCAAAGTAAAAGAGGAATATTGGACAGCTCTAAGGTGGAATCTAAATACAAATAAAAACCCCGCTAATAAAACACATATTTAAAAAATACCAGAGGCCTTTTTATTAGGTTTGGTAGGAGAAGAATTACCGAAGGATAAGAAAGTACTGTTTATGTATGTGATGACAACGGCAAGAATACTACTTGCCCAGGGATGGAAAGAAGAAAGAGACGCATCGAAAGGAGAATGGATAATGAAGATGATGGACTATGCGGAGATGGCAAGGCGGACAGGGAAAATCAGGCACCAAGAGTTTAACCAATTTACTAAGGAACGACATACTTCTAAAGAATATAGTAAAGAACACTGTCAACATTTTTAAATGTTGGCAGGATTGACATAGCACTTGTAATTTAAAATAACAAAGGATAAAAATGAAGCACAATATTTTGGATAAATGCAATTAGATACAGTTTAAAAAGGAAGATAAATTTTGGAAGCCAAGGGACGGGTGGAGGGAAGTCCGGGGGAATCCCATAAAGGTTCTGATATGGACTGTGGTGTAATATAAGTGTGTGTGTGTGTGTGTGTGTGTGTGTGTGTAAAAAATTGTGATTTTTTCTTTTTGAAACATTGAAAATAAAAAGTTAAAAAAGAAAATACTTTTTAAAAGTGTTTTGAAAAATATCTTGAATTTGCCATGAGCTCACCCTCGCCATCTAGTGTCTAGCTGGAACCTGCGCCAAGGTGGGCAACCAAGAGGATCAAGGGTCTAGAAACCAAGACTTATGAGGAACGGTTGAAACAGCTGGGTATGTCTAGCCTGGAAAAGAGGAGATTTGAAAGAGATATGATAGCCATCTTCAAATATCTGAAGGGCTGCCACATGGAAGCTGGAGCGAGCTTGTTTTCTCCTGTTCTGGGGGGTAGGACTCAAACCAATGGCTTCAAGGTACATGAAAGGAGATTCGGACTAAACATCAGGAAGAATTTGCTGACAGTAAGAGCTGGGAGAGACCAGGGAGAATATGTCACTCTTCATATGTTTTGAACAACTCTCAGCAGGTCCAGTCAACATGATGGGCCTTGTGGGAGTTGCAATCCGAAACATCTGGAGGACACAAACTTGGTGAAAGCTGCTGCACAGTGAGGCCTCTGCTCAAAAGAGCATCCCTTCTCTGTCAGAGCCAAGGTGTATCTAGTCCAGCACCCTGCTTCCATCAAGGACTAACCTGATCCTCCTGGATGTTCTTAAGTGGCTCCCCAGCAGTTGGTATTCAGAGGTAGACTGCTCCTTCAACAGGAAGTTCTATTTGGCTATTCAAGCCACTGACCACTGATAGACTCAGCCAAACCCAGGTTCTAGAGAAGGCTTCGCCAACCTGGTATAGCCCAAAACATCTCGGGGGGGGGGGCACTATGTTGGCAAAAGTCCAAGTTGGCAAAAGTATGTGAAAAAAATGGCATTATTGCACTTTGAATGGAAAAAATCTAGGAGAAAAGAGGGGAAATGTTTTCAAATAGCACCTTTAACCCAACAGAGCAAAACGCTTGCTTTGCTACCAGGTACATAAGGGAATGCAAGCAGGACGTTTTCTTAAGATCAGCCGTATCAATGGAACAACTTCCCTAGGAGGAAAATATGCAGCTTTCAGAACTTTGAAGTTTAGAGGGAAAGCAAGTTAGAGGCAATGGAACCAGAGGTTCTAAAATCCTGCAAGACTTGCAGAAAGTGGGTAGGAAAAGTGTTTTTCTCCCTCTCTCATAACACCAACTCATGTAGGAACCAATGCAGGAAGATTCAGAGCAGATAAGAAGAGTCTACTGGATCTGGCCACTGGCCCCTCTACTCCATCATCCTGTTCACAGTGGCCCCCCGGGATGCTCCTTAAGGGAAAGCCACAAACAGGACAGGAGCACAAGAGCAACTCTCCCCTCCTGCGGTTTGCAGCAGCTGGGGTTGAGAAGCACTCCTGTCCTGCCCATGCAAGCAGTGCTGACGGGCAGGGAGGCTTCTTCCCTGTGCATTAGCTCTGCCCATCCACAGAGCAGCCCTGTGTCTTTGGCTGTCATCTTGATGGTCACGGTGGGAACAGGATGCTCAACTAGATGATCCCCCTTTGGCCTGGTGCAGAAGGCTCCTCTGACATTCCTATACACTGCTGGTGAAGACAAGTTGCACGTCTTGCCTCAGAACATGGTCACTCCAACCCTCCAAGGGAGGGAGAAATATAATGCCAGATGAAAACTAAAACCATCTTAGTCAGCTCAACAGAAAAGTCCAGGCAGGAGAGTTCCCACTTCCCAGATCAGCCATGGAGAGCCCAGCAGCAGCCAGATATTGAGAGCCAGGCCACCCAGGAACACATGCCAGCTTTCTTCCTGGGCACATTTGACAAGGCAGTATATCCCACTGAGCACTGCAGGACTCAATTCCAAGTAAGCATGTGCAGGATACGGACAGCATAGCTGCACTGCAGAAAGTCTCTCTCCAGGGTCAGGCAGGCTGCTGCACTTCAAAGACTAAGGAGAACTAAGATGCTGGTGAAAGGCAGTCCTTAAGATTTACAGAGACTTGCGCCCCCTAGTGACAAAAGTTCCTGCTCCTCTGCAGCTGCTCTGGGTTAGCAGTTAGGCTCTAGAAAGAAACATTTCGAGGAAAACCAAGAACACAACATAAAGAGGAGCTGTGTTGTACCAAATCTGACCACAGATGCATCTAGAGTTCTGTACTGACTGTGAGGAGCCCACCATAGTACCAGACATAGTACCCAAGGAGGCCAAGGATTATCCTGTGGAACTTCTGCCTGCACCTCACCTACCCCACAGAAGCTGCTATGGCTTCCAACCTTCCATGTGCAGTACCCAAAAAACGTTTTTCCCTCTAAGTGTACAGAAAAGCGTGTTGTTGTTTTTTTAAAGGAAAGAAACCATCATAGAGCAGCAGCATAATCCTACACATGTTTACCTAGGAGCAAACTGCAGCGAGCGCAGCAGGCTTTGCTCCCAAATAAGAAGACATAGGATTCATCTAACACCCATCACAACCAAGGATAACGTAAAAGAACCTCCATGGCCAGAAGAAATCTACCCTGCCCAAAGAGCCAGGGATTCTCCTGTGGAACTTCTGCCTGCACCTCACCTTACCCACAGAAGCTAAAGGCACCAAGGAGGAAGGGATGGGACGTGGGGTGCTCAAGCAAAAATCGGGGGGTTGGTTGGGGGGAAACCAAGACGCTTTGCGCGGCTTTGCGTCCTTTTTTTGTGCTCGAGTGCGCGCGGCCAACACAACCCACCGCGCCAGGCGCTGCCCTCGCCACCAACGTGCCCAGGGCGCGAAGGGTTCCGCGGGTCAACTCAGCCTGGCCAACAGAGCCAAGCGGGACTGCCCTTCGCCCCAGCCTGCCCTTGCCAGGAGAAGCTTGGTCGGCAGGCAAATCCTGCTCCCCCACGCTGGTCTGGAACGCGCGGCGGCTAGTCCAAGCCGGGTCCTGGCGGCACTCAGGACGGGACGGGGTTCCCTGCGTGGGGGCGCCTGGCTCCCGCCCCCTAAAAATCGCGCGCTTGGGACTACCGTCTCCCTGGCCCATGTCCATACACACGTGCTCTCCGCATCTTCAGACCCGACTCTTTCCCCAGCCCTGCCTGGAAATACTGCGGGTAGAGTAACCCGCCCCCCCCCCCCTGCACACACACATCGCAAAGCTCTACCTCCGCGCAGCAGCCCTTCCTCCTGAAACCAAGGACCCAAGGTCGAGGGCCAACCGGACACATCCCCAAAGCCACAGCCAAGGCTGGAGTGAAGAGCCAGAGGAGAGTTCGGGGTCTCTAAAGTTGCGCGGGACTCCGGAGTTCGGAGGCGAAGCGAGGCGGCTCCCCAACCCCCCTTATCCCCCGCCAGAACCCTACCTACCCCAGGACTCTCCGCCGTCCCGCAGCACTTGGAAAGGGCACGGATGCGCTCCGCCCGGATGCTGAGCGGAGCCGCGGCCAGGAGCGCACCCTTGGCCGAGGAGGAGGAGGTGCAGCAGCCAGCGCGCTACAAGCACCCATTGCCACCCTCCCTCCCGCAGCGCCAGGCAGATGGAAGTGGAAAAGACGCCGAGGACGCCCCAGCTGTTAGAAACAGAGATCCGGAGCCCCGCCCCCTGGCCAGTTAAACTCCAGCGAGTTAAAGGAACTCTGCTTCCCCATTTCACCCCCACGGGGACCACACACCCTCCAATAAATGAAACCCCCTATATCTTGCGAATACACGGGTATTCAAGCTTATAGCCTGGTTCCCCAAGGAAATCCAAAAGACCCCATGGCCGCCAACTTTTCAGCCTCCTCCAGACCCTGCCTTGAGGGCTGGCTCCCTAACAGGCTCCACTGTTTCCCTTTCTTTCCCCGGAATTGTCACCTGCAGATTTCTTTCAACCCCTGCGTTGCCCTTAAAGGCACAGGCACACCTGGCAGGCTGAAAGACAGCAGGTTAGCGAAAGCTGACGTAAGCATGCAGGTGGGAGCCACAGGCACAGCAGAAAGATACAGGAGCTTTGGCAAAAATCTATAATCTAGAACATCCGGCGTTTTGGGTGGCGATTCTAGGAAAGATCAGCTGTCCCTCTGGGTCTTCTAACCAGCAGTCAAACAAACAAGAATTAAGCCGTAAAACTTTTCTGTTTCTTATTCACCTCTCTGCCCCCAATCTCAGCTAAATAGGAGCTGACACTACACAGGTGGGAGAAGGTGGCACTCTGCACATTCTCGTATTCATTGGGACTTTGGGACTCTGGCTGAAATTACTTTTCAGCGCACACTTACTTGGGAATAAGTCCCATTGGACTCAACAATAGCAATTGTGATTTTAGAAAAACTACAGTGTTTAGAGGAGTGGCTGGTTTAGCAGATTTGGCTGCCACTGAGTGCTACAATGTTCCTGGTTTGTTTTAATTGTTGCATTGGTGACCAGCTCAAAGTGAAGAAGCCTCCAAGCCTTGACAGAAACATGCTAGGAGAACAAATGAACTTTGGACACATTACCCACGTTGAAACAAAAGAGATGGCTAGTGCCCTTCCATCAGTTGGGCAAATTCAGGAACAAATGAATTCCAAAGGAGGCTCCAACAACAATAATCCTTCAACTGCAAAGGTGTCAGATGTCTGAATGAGAGAATGAAATGCCAGTTTGGCGATGTGATGCCTTGAAAGCAGCTGGCTGTAAGGAGGAGAACTGCCCGATTTTATTTTATACATTGTTGTATTTAGACTACTAATGTGCTAGTAAGGCTGTGAAATGCTAAATTTAATGCCACCTCGTTTCTGTGGAAGCCCATTCATGTTGGAGATTGAATCTTGACATAACCATTTAGCTATAGCATCATGACCACAATTTGTTGTCTAAAAGCAGCATTTAAGATGGTAGCTACATTTTAATAAACAACTCCACTAAAGATTCCTCAGGATTTGTAGTTCTGCTGGGGGATTAGAGAGACTAGGTTACACTGCTTTAAATTAAGAAATTACGTGATTCACAAACTTTGGCTCCCATAAAATAAAAACCTTCCAGTAAGAATCTTAAATTAAAAGTCAAAAACACAAAACAATAGTAATTGTGAAGCACCGACACTTTCTGAACCCAGGTAAAGGTAAAGGGACCCCTGACCATTACGTTTAGTCGTGGCCGACTGTGGGGCTGCAGCGCTCATCTTGCTTTATTGGGCGAGGGAGCCGACGATCTACTATCTACTTGCACTATTTATCTACTTGCACTTTGATGTGCTTTCAAACTGCTAGGTTGGCAGGAGCAGGGACCGAGCAATGGGAGCTCACCCTGTCATCGTGGGGATTCGAACCGCCGACCGTCTGAGCAGCAAGTCCTAGGCTCTGTGGTTTAACCCACAGAGCCACCTGCGTCCCGTCTGAACCCAGGAAGGGCACTTAAATTCTAAGAATTAACCAAACTGCAATGTTTAAAGTGTCCACTGTTTCTTTGCAAAAGTGGA